AAAGTGAATTTTGAAAACTAGAAACAAACAGAGTGAGATTTTTTTTAAGTAATTTTTTGATTTTTTAATTAAATTAAATTGCTTCCAACTTTTTTTTTTGAAATTAGTTATTTTAGCTGATATTTTGACTTTTTATGAAAAAGATATGTAAAAAAATAAAAAGAATATTGACTTTTTTGTAGTAACTTTTTTATTTGAATAATAAGTCCCTACAGTTCGAATAAGTTTTTTGAAAGAGATTAATTTCCTACTATCCATGGCTCCAAAAGTTTTGGAGGTAAGATAAGTAAAACCTGAAATCTTAGAAGGAGCAAATCCCTAAGTCTCAAACCTAATCTACAAAGCCAAATTCTTGGGGTTAATTTTTTGATTTAACTATGTTAAATTTTATAAATTTGATAAAATTAATTTTTTTAATTTTTAATTAATTTAATTAATTTGATACAAATTTGAGCATCTCTAATCTTTTATTAATTTTTTAACTAATTTAATTTTAATTTTAAATAAAAAATTTAATTTGATATGAATTATTTTAATTCTTTAATTTATTTTTTAAAATTTCATTCTTATTCTAAAAATTTGTTTTCATTAAATTTGATAAAATAAAAAAAAATCAACACCAATTCTTCATTTTTTTAAAATTTTCATTAAATTTAAATTTGATGAAATATTTGATGAGTTTTTAATTTGATAAAAAAAAGTTTCTCACCCTTTATTTGATGAAATGATTAAAAAGTTAGCTTTTACCTTTTAACTCATTTTATGTCACATCATCTCTCACATTTTTTACACACAAAAAGATAAAAAAGTCGAAAAAAACTAAAAAAAATCAGTTTTTAACCAACCAAATCACCCCTAAATATAAATTTTAAGCACTTTTTCATCAAATTCAAATTTAATAAAAGAAAAAGATGAAAGATTGAATATGCTTTAAAAGATTAAAAATTAATATATATGATATATAGACACATGAATAAATAAAATAAATTAGTATATATACACAATATCTTTATTTATTTATTGTTTACACATCTTTATATATTTATTATATGTAAATGGATCCTAATGGATCTAATGAGTATTTGTACAATACACATCTTTGTATAGGGAAGATTATTAGAACGTAGGAATTAGGACTATTTCCGATTGAGATTCATATTTTTTACTAAATTTAAATTTGATAAAAATTTGATAAAAATGATATTTCAACCGTTTCACCAAATTCGTATTAAATTAAGGGAGTCGTACTTTTTTCATCAAATCAATGGAGCATTAATCTTTCATCAAATCTTACAAGTAACCACCGGTAAATCACCGGTTGGCTAGGGGTGAGCATGGTCCGAATTGGACCGGATTGGGATAAAACCAGGACCAATCCGTTATTTACGGTTCCTAAAAAATTGGAACCAATCCAATCCGTTTAAATCATGGAACCAATCCGAACCAATCCATTTAAATACGAATTGGATCGGTTTAGGACCACGGATTCACATAATTAAATAACAAAAATATATATATATAACACTTGAATTTCATAAAAATATAAACATAGCGCTATATTAGTTCCATAATAGCAACATGTTTTTCTATAATAACGACATACTGTTCTAGAATTTAAAAAACCATAAGAAAACTGGTTTCACCATAAGTATTTAGACCATTGCAAATTAAGACTTAAAACTAACAAACAAAAGTAATAAAAGAAGATATTATACGATTTTAGGTTTGAGTTTAGATTTTACATAGAATAAGAAAAGATACTATGGGGGAGGATGTATAATAAAAATATAGACTATTTGTATACGGTCCGGATCGGTTCCAATCCGGAACCGTGGGATTCAATCCGGAACCAATCCGTGAACTACGGATTTTTAATTATTCAATCCGGAACCGAACCACGGATTCAAAAAACCAATCCAAACCTATCGGATTGGACTGGACTGGATCGGATTACGGATTTCACGGATTCCTTGCTCAGCCCTACGGTTGGCCGACCAAATTGGGAAAGATTTAATGAAAATTTATATTAGTCCGGATGATCGGTTAGACGACCAATCAAATTTGATGAAACGATTGAAGTATATCATATTAGATCAAACTTTTACTCAAAAATTTGAATAAGCGTAGTAGATACTCTAAGGTATTCTCCTTATCCAATGATAAGGTAAAAAGTTGTTATTGTTAACAAAATAGCATGATTTTCAATTTTGAGCTCTTCAATAATTAGCTAAATTTTATGTTATATTTTAGTAGGACAAATTATGTCGGTAATCTCTATATTTTGTTCCTTGTGTCATGTTGGTCATTGTAATTTTAATTGATTCAATTTTGACCATTAATTTATGACTTTATCTCAATTTAGTCAAATTGAATACAACTATTAACAATTTTTAATAAAAAAATATGTGCAGACGTGGCATATGTCATGATTTTAAAGGCAAAATTATAAATTTACTTAACTCAGTAAGTTAACCTCAATTACTTAAGTGATCATTTTTTGTAATAAAAAAAAAAACACTAATATTATCAATTTGATCAAATTAATGCAAAATCTAAAATTAAATATTAAAATTAAGCCGATTAAAAATATAGAAATCAAAATAATACAAGAAATAAAATATAAAGACTACCGATACTTAAAATTTAATAATTCCTTTATTTCTATATTTCTCATTATAAGACATATGCAACTTTTTTGTTTTTGTTTTTTCAGGTAGGATCCTTTTTTCTTATTTTATTATTATTATAAGAGCCTCTAATCACACTCCTTAGACACCATATATTGATAATTTATTAAAAATACCGTTGTAACTTGTGTTAAATTACCTACGAGGATAAAGGACAAAATCCTCAACCCTATTTCTCTCAAAATTGAATCTCATGTGCACTATTCCCACCCTCTCCAATTTTGTCCACCACCACTCTCCAATCCCTCCCCCTCCAGTCCCTATCTCCTCTCTCCCTCTAGCTTCTCCCAAATTTGGCCACCATCCCTTATGACTTTCTTTCACTTTTGTTGGTAGTGGTCGGATTGAGGTTAGGGGTAGGAAAGGAGGCCTTAACGTTATATTTGGTTGGGAGATTTAGAAAAAAATTTTAAAAGAGAAAAAAAAAATTTAAGTAAAATGTGAATAAAATATATTTATATTTTATTTAATTTCAGACACAAGCAAAAACAACGTAAGTGTCGGAGAAGGGTAGGGGCATTGGGAAAGAAAGTAAAGAGGATGAGGTGAGGGTTGTTGAAGAGGGAAGGAGCGACAATTGTTGGAGATGGAAGGGGAATGGTGGAAGGCGTAGAAAGGGAATGTGAGGGGGTGATGAGAGGGAAATGAAGGAAGGAGCGACAAACAAGGGAAGAGAAGAGTTAACAGAGGTGGCACCAAGATTCTAGGTAAGTGGTTGGAGTAAGGTAGGAATTGATTAGGGTGTTCAAAGAAAATGAACACAATTCAAATTTAGAATTGAATTGTTCACAGCCGAATATGATGTTCAATAATTTTTTTAGAGTGTATCTCGAGACTTCTGTTTTTATTTGATAAAAGTATTTATTTATTTATGCCATTAGAGCTAGCAGTTGATAAATAAATGAATAATATGCATCAATTAATATATCAATTAGTGTATTAAGGCTTCGTTTGAGAACATATTTTTTTAGTAATTTTTTTTGTTTTTTGGCTAAAATATGATGTAAAAAAAAAAACTAATATATTTCGGATAACTTTTTGACTTTTTACGAAAAGATGTACAAAAAGTAAAGAAAAAATAGATCTTTGACTTTATGGTATAGGTTATGCGCTTTTTAATTTTTTAGTGATTTTTTAACTTTTTAACTAAAATCACCACTTGCCAAACGAGCCTAATAGATAATGTGACATAATTTTAGAGATTTTGAATATTTGTAATTTGTATAATGGGTGAGGTCAATAATAATGTCATAATATATGTTGGTATATTAATTGATATATCAATTAATGTATATAGAATTACCATAATTAAATGCGATTAGAGCTAGTAATTGACAAATTAATCTTGTACCATGTTTAGAAGCAAACATTTTTTTTTTTTCGATGAACCATGTTTTCAAGGTGGGTCAGCATGGACTACCTTCATGGTTGGTATTGATTCTTCTAAATCAGTCAAACCTTTTATCTTATAAAAATATAATAATGGATTCCAGCGGTATTACTTAATAAAGAAGTTATGAAAACGAGTATTACCTAAAATATTTTAATTGATTATTACATCGTTAAATATATAAATTAAATTTAATTTTTAGTCTTTAATAATATATATACACAAATATACAAATACTATGCAATAAAGCACAATCTTTTTTATTTTTTATTTTTTTATATTAATTTGTTAGTAATAAAATTACAATACTTGTCAATGTCTCCTTGGCCCTGTTTGGTAGAACTATGGGAAAGTGCTTATAGCTTATGCCTAAACAGCTTATAGCTTATAACTTTCAGCTTAAGCTGATTTCCAGCTTATTCTTAAAGCATCTCCTGCCCCACTTAAAGAATAAGCTGTTTTCTGACTTCCACAAAGCTATAAGTTATAAGTTAAACCAAACACATCAAAATAGCTTAAATTAAGCTGAAAGCTGAAATAAGTTGTACCAAACAGGGCCCTTATAGACTAAAAAACTTAAAACCTCACCTAGTACCTATGTACCCTGCCTTTCCATAACCACTTGGACTACAGTCTGATTCAACAAAACATAATAAATTGTTATAAACATATTTAATAATATACCTAAAAAAATACCAATAAATTGTAACAAATTACTATTTTTCAGATACAACTAAATTAAACAAATTGACGTGTACAAATGAATATAAATTTACCTACCATTGCTGCCTTTTTTTTTTTGGTGGTATACATAATACTAGTCTTCACCCTTAGACTACAATGATACTGACTTAAAAAGCTTTGAAATAATATTTAATGCCAACCTTTGTTGAAGTTATGATAAATTTTGAGACTTCACCGCCTTGCCACAATTGAGAATGTTTTGTAATCTTATGAATATCTTAGATCATCAACATGTGCAATATATACAATCCATGTGAAAAAGAAAGCTACTCGAGAAGAAAGGAAAGCCAAAAAACAAAAAAACAAAAACAAAAGTAAAAAAAGGTATGGGCAAACAACCCAAAGTGCTTGATATAGAAGTACACATGGGTATAATCTCAAAAATCATAATCTATATCTGAAACGTTTTGGGAGGTCGATTGCTTAACAAGCCGTTCGTGTTCATCATACAGATCAAGGTTCTCGCATGGGGCAGGGAAGACTGTCCCAATCACACGACCATTAATGAAGGCGCATTGGAATATATGCTTCTTCTTGTATGTTATCCCAACTGACATATCCCGAAAAGTTACATCCCTCACGGGAATTTCATCACTCCCGTGGATGCGAACAGGCACACGAACTCCTTCACCATGAACCGAAGTGTAGCTTATGTCCTCGAGCACTGGGAAAGCCTTGCGATCAAAGTCATCGTCAGGATGTTCGTTGTAGTCTGTCTTGATAACGATCCCGACACGGACATTATTAAATGTTAAGTTCTTGTATGTTATATGTCGAACATAACCCCCTCTTCCAGTGCTGGTCTTGATCCGAACAGCACGCCTAGAGTCCCAAACGTAGAGGTTCTCCACGGTGACATTTGACACCCCGCCAGACATCTCACTGCCTATCGATACGCCAGCACTGTTACAATAGGCAAAGGTAGATCAGAGTGTGATGCCAGACGGCCAGCAAAAGAAAATAAATGTAAAAGAAAAAGAAAGGCCACGCCACACCAAAAGAAAATAAAAGAAACCTTAATCTCAATTCCACAATTCAACTCAATTCAATATCCTAGTCTGAATAAACGTATTACATAACTGCCTATTTATAAGTATCCAAGAAGACCCTAATTAAAACCTATAAAAAATAAAACAACACAATATTAACAAACTCGTTAATATTCTAATATTGATATAATTCAAAAAATCCAACTTTCCAAAAGTATTCAATTCTTTCCTCATCCAACACCTTTTTTGTCCTCATCAGAGTGACTATGGGAAGACATGCAATTTATGCTCTAGGTTTAAAGGTATTAGTTAAGTGGTTTCTGTGGTGTAGTCATTGAAAAGCAAAGATATCACAAGGTTAGTAATTGAATAGATGCAAGAAATGAGTCAATCTGCCTGTTATCAATCAACTGACCATGATAATTACTTGTCCCTTATCTTATTTTTTTCTTCTCTCTTTTTGGGTAGGTTAAAACGCTCATCCATTTACTGTGAGAATCGTCCAAATCATAGCTGTAATTGGATTGGTATTAGTCTGGATACGGCAAAATCATTCTATTAGATCAAATGTACTTAATCGATCTAATAAGTACCTTATGTCAGAATTGAGAAATTCTATGGATCGGATCTTTAGTATTCTCTTATTTATTACCTGCGTCTACTATTTAGGCAGAATACCGTCACCCATTCAAGCATTGGAACCACCTATCAGTTGATTTCACCACTAAGAACTGAAATTCCTCGCTTTATCACCCTGAAAAGCCTGTATGAATCATTAAACTCTTTATCAACAGAACTTATCGGGCTATACTTTATATTATTGCACAAACCCTATACTCTCCAATCAATTGAATCCTTGATAGATGAGACTAGAATCTTCAATAATATTTGTGAACCATTTCTGTGTAAGGAAAAGGTTTATAACTAGCTGAATCCCAAAAAATTGGGCCATTTCTTCTAGATAAAGCAATATGATAAAATTTGCGGATTCAAACATCCAATTTTTTATTTTATATTTTTCAATTTTTTTAATGTTTGGAAAATTGCTTACCCCAAAACATGGAAGAGAACTTCCATAAAATATGCATTCCGGACCAGAAGACAAAATAAACATATATATTTATATATATCAAAGTTGCCTCCACATATTCAGCCAAGAACCAAAATTTAACTTATTCAGCTTGGGAGATGTAGATTTGGGAGGGGCACTGTAATTTGTGATATGTTATGGTGAGGGCATCAGTTATGCTGAGCAATTAGAAATCCCCACAATTCAACCAAAAAGTGTACATATATTGCCACAGACAAACAAAAGACTTGTTAATATGTTTCTCCGGCAGGCTGTCTTAAAGCCAACAACATGCAAACTCTCTGTCAAATTGAAACAATGATAAGTACGAGCTCTTACCTGACCATAGAGCGGACAACAACGTTTCGAATGAGAATATTTTTTGAAGGGCGCCCATAAGCAATGCCGTACTGATCCCAACCACTCTTTATTGCAATGCCATCATCCCCAACACTTATGTAACAGTCCTCAATTACCATATCTTCACATGAATCTGTTTAGACCATAGCAACTATTAAATTAACCAGCACTTGGGAACATGCTATTTTAGCAACTTTTTGGATTTTTACAAAAAGATGTGTAGAAAAGTAGAGAGAGTGATGTAACAATTTATAATGACTTTTTGACTAAAATACTTTAGTCCCCAAACGAAACAATCAAAACAATTACAGAATTAGCCACATGAGCATTAAGTTGTAAAATTAAGGAAATCATGGTCGTACATTGGGAGAATTATATTCAAACACATAATAGAAAATATCTAAATACATTTTGATGAATAGCAATATGATCCCATATTCCAACTATAGTCATTCCAGTCCTTAACCATATTTGCTTTTAATCTCCCAATGAAATGTGGAGGATGCATATGAAATGAGAAAATATATTACACAATCGAGCTTCAACATTTTTTTTTAACCTAATTGAATTCTCCATGATTAATGTCAAGCCTGTTCAATAATCATACAGGATTCAATTCAAAAACCAAACTGGTGTCCTTTTCTACAAATGGAAACATTTTTCTAACAGGTCTACAAATGGAAACATGATCTGAGGATAATAGCCCATTTAGCTCATCAAAAGTTGCATTGTAAAAACATAAATGCAACAGACGTACCAGGATCTATTCCATCAGTGTTGGGAGCTTCAGAGATGGGAGCCAAAATTGTAAGATTTCTAATTGTCACATTCTTGCAGTCATATGGATGTAGTGTCCAAAAAGGAGAATCACGTAAAGTTATGTTAGAAATCACAATGTCACTTGACCACATAATCTGCACAAGTGGGCCCCTAGTGTGGTTAAGGATTCTCTGTCGATACTTCTTCCACCATGCTTGTCCCTGTCCATTAATGGTACCATTATGCCCTGTTGGTCAGCAATAACATATATGTAATCAGACCAAGCCAAAACAATTGAGGAGCTGGAGAGAACAAAAGAAGAGCATCAATGTTCAATGTGGTTACATGCAAGAACACTCGACTTTCCTACAATATTGGTGATCCAATCAGGGGTTAAAAAGTTACCCAAGTGGACCAATCATTGAGTTCTTATTTGTTGGGAAAAAGAAAAGTAAACAAAACAAAAACAAAAACAAAAACAAAAAGAAAAACAAAAAAACAAATAAAAAAACACAGAATAAAGGTTCACTTGTGCAGCTAGTAGTACCCAAACACAAATTCCTTGAGAAACAACTGATTATCGTTTTCAGTCCGTCTCTTCCAAGAAATAAAAATTATAAACGATTTTGATTAAAATATTGCTGATCCATGTAAATAAAAAGGAATGGATATATTGACCAAGTTGTGAGTCAGAAGCTTTGTTCTGATTAAAAAAAGCATTTTGCTTTGTTCTGTTATTAAGAGACAAGCACTCAGTAGACAAAAAATGTCACTAGGAAGATGGCATGGTGATGACATTTATTATATGGCTTTACAGGTATAATATTTGGAAAGCCTAAAGTGAAGGTTATGGGTCCCATAATCATCAACAAAGGGAAGTGCCATAGTAGTGTTTAATCTACATTTTTTCTAAATTATTATGGTATTTGCTAGATTTATATACCATTATATAGAGTATTCAGAAATAGAGGTATTTTTATAATTTATGTTACATGGGTACGGGTGTCGGGTGCGGATGTGTATCTAAAGGTCGAACTCATCAAATCTCAAATTTAAGTGTATGCAGACTCGGAAAAAAAGAGTCATATTTTTATATTTTTAATCTATTATGTGAGTTAAAATGGTATTACATGTAACATATAGCATCAAAAAGGTGTTTTACAGCAATTACTCAACAAATGATACATGTAAGATAGTATTAAATACAAAGATATGATAAAGTATCCAATGGAAAGTATCGGATACATGTCCCACACCTTTGTCCGAACGTCAAGCGTTCGACATGGTTATTTGATTTATTTTGAAGAGTTCATAACATAATTTATAATTTTGAAAACTTCTAGACATGGGGTGTAAGGGTTTCCCATGGGTCAAGTAATGCTGTTTGATTTTTATTTTAGGGTCCTAGTTGGTCTAAAAGATTTTTACTTATCAAATATTCCTAGTTCTTGAATTGAAATTCTAGTCCTGGTAGAAGCAGGAGAGTCTTTAAGGTAATCTCATTGATTCAACATGGTTGATATTATGAATAACTGATATTGTGTTTGGTGTGAAATTTGCATAACCTCTATGATGGTAAGCTTTTAGCTTTTCTTCTTCTTTTTCTTGCTTCATAGGTCAAACTGCAGTTAAATGGACTCTTTCTAGTACAGTGTATAAAGGCTTACGTGATTATCATGGCTAAAAGATATCTTGAATTTGACAAGTCCAAAAGTAAATGTAGATTTGAAAACCATGAACATGTGTTATTTTATTTTAGTCAGAAAGTGAAGACTTTCACCATGGCATATGAAATTCACAAATTAACAGAACTTCTACTAGGGAAGAGAGGATTAAAACTCTACCTGTAATAACTACATCTTTTAGATTTTGACCATGAATCAAACTCCCATATCGAGCTCCAGGACGTTCTCTGCCTTTCCCATATGAAGGTAATGGAGGCATGAGAGGCCAGTACTTCTCATCCTGTTTAATATGACATAAAACAAAAAAGACATATAATAAGCAATAGCTTCACTTGCAATGAACAATAAGATTTTTGAGCCATACAGCACACTATTCAACCAAGTGGCTTACCAATTTGTACACACTATTGTGAAAAGATGCAGGACACATCAGCAAAAAATGTGTAAAAGTGCAAGACAGCTGTACAACCAAGCAGGCAAAGCCAGCAAGACTGTCCAATCATCCCACTATAAGCTCACGTTGACAGTATTATTTAATACCATATTATCAAGTATTAAAGGCTTGATCCTGCTAGTTCTCTTCATATCCTGTTCCCCATTTATTCCCTTATATTCCTTTCCAAGATGCTATACGAGGCCTACTAGGAGTTAAAAATCTAAAGAATCCGCTTTTGGGCAAGTGGGGTTGCCAACAAACTAACTAAGAAATCGGGAGAGATCCCCTCTTTAGATTCTTAGTAATGTACAGATTTGCGCTATGATGCTAAATCGTGAATAGTTCATCATACAACAACTTCAATCAGATTTCAAAGTTTGAGAATGCTATGGAAGCTGTGATAGCTGCTACTTGAATTCTGGCAATATAAAATTCAAACAGCACCTAAACACCAGTTGTTTTTGCCCGAGTCGAGAGCATCTGTTCATCATCCAGGACATCACTCCTACAGTATTTTCCCTTCTTTTATTCTCAAAATTAGGCGGAGGTACCACATCCATAGTTAGAAAGGCTATATCCATGGCCCATGGTAATGCCCCATTATTAGAGACCCCACCACGTGAGAAGGAATTTTAGAAAACAAAATAGCAACTACATCATCTATTTATGGCCTAATATATGCCCATTGTTATCATATTTGAGATACCTGACCATCGGTTTTAAAACTAGTGTATTTCATTCTTTTCACTCAGCAGTTTGCCACCATAAGTTTCTTGTTAAAGAATCAGCATGCATGAAACATACTTAAATTGGAAAAAATAACAAGAAAGTGAAAGAGCATTTTGATTTACAAATGCACATACAATTAGCGTAGACAGAATGAGAATGCAAAAGAAGCTTTACAACTTCAAAGCATGTTCCTACTCCTTTAAAAGGAATTCCCAGTATAGTTATAATGACTTTGGTTAACACTTGAGTAAAGTAAGTACGGAATGTGGAACATGAGTAATAAATAAAGAAGATGAAGTAAATTATATAGAGTAAAACATCAGTCATGAAGGCCATCAATCACATACTTAGAATTAGAATGAAATAAAAAGGAAAAATTATCACCAAAAGGAAAAATTCTCACATTGCATGCAATCAGTAATTGACCTCCTGCTTGATACCCATACAATTACATAAAAGGTAAAAATTCTTGAAAGGAATTTAAAGAGTTTCAAATACATACTATTTAATCTTATTCTTAAATAATAAAAAAAACTCTTTTCTACTAAACAAGTAGGTCACTTCAAGAAGCTGACACAGAGACAGAGAGCATTTTATTTTCTTGCCAACTACTTTCCTTTCCCTCAAGTAACAAAAAGAGCATTACGACAATAACCATTAGAAAATTTCAACCCAGAGTCAGATAGTACACATAATAATGCAGAAACACCATTGCCAAGATGTTTCATATCAAATTAGCAATGCTTTGCAGAAAGTTTTTGCACTAAAGAAATTTATTTATGCTCCAAGTCAAATATCAGTATATCACCCAACAAACAAAGAAGAGATAAAAGAGATGGAGGAATCCACAACTCAGATGTAAAGACACCAATAAATTTACAGTTCCGTACAATCAGTTTGCAAATATGCTTTAATCCTTATTATCACAATATATGATGACAGAAAGTTGAAATATTGTAGGGGTCATCAGTATCTAAACTTATCACAAAAGCTAAGGCATGTTATGATATAAGTTGATTGATTGGTATACTCCCTGCATACCACAATGTTAGTCCCTGTTGAGAATTTTTACTTTTTTAAGAGAACATGTAATTAATGCATTCAAATTCAAATAAAAGACATAGGCTTTTCAAAATGCCCCTTTATCCACTCCAAATTCCAAAATATATTCATATTCATTTATAAGGGATAATTTTGGATGATTGTTAAACATATGCTTTGATTTTCAAAGATGACTTACATTTTGGGACATCTAAAATCAGTAAGAACGGCTAACAATGTGGGACGGAGGGAGTATCAGCAATTGATTCATAATTCTGCCCAATCTGACAAACAAACTGTGGTGATCAAAAAGATTGTGAATTATGCTCTTGTTCCAACAAAAAGTTCAAAAGCAACCCCACGGAGACCGTCACTGCCTCTAATTTCCATACACTTCAATTATAAATGATGTCAAAAATATACATAGCATCATTATTCCACCCCAAAACACAAACACTTTTAAACTTATTCTCAAAAATTCTCTTCTGCTAATTCCAAACACCTTATTATCAGTCTAATGGTGCAGCTGAAGCATCAAGTGCAAAAAACAAAGGATGTTGGAGGTTGGTTGATTCTGGCATCGATTCTAAATAAAAAATGCTGATCCATAGTTTAGCCAATAGGGTAACCTAAAAGCCCCAAATCCTTGATGACAAAAATGGATAAAAGTGTGATCCTACCATTTCATCAAATAAGTATCAAATCAAAGGGGAGACAAATTTTTAACCTAATCAACGATGAACCAAATCCTTAGCCAAATTTCCAACCATCATATTTTTACTCAAATTTGATGAAATTGTAAAAAGGGTAAGGATTGAAGATGGTTTTCAGAATTGGAGATATTCTTACAAACAAGAAACAGATTGCAATTAACATTATGACCGAGAAATACACAAAAACAAGTATAAAACTAGCACCACTAACACTCCATATTCTAAAATTCTAAAATTTGGTCAATTTCAATTCAAACAATGATAAATTTTCAACAACTAAGCAAAACCCAAGAAGCGAAAACTCACATCAATGCCAAGTATAACAGCGTCTTCATCTAGGAACAAAGTCATATGGCTAGTGAGATTAAACGGCGCCGTAAGCCAATTCCCAGCCGGAACGTTGAGCTGACCACCACCCCTCTTCCCGAGCTTCGAAATCGCCGAAACCGCCCTTTCGAAGGCGGCGGTGTTGAGCGTAACGCCGTCTCCGACGCCGCCGAAGTCCGTCAAATTGTAGGCCACAGGGCGGAGCTTCGGCATTTCTCTTCCCGGCGCCGCCCACCGGAAAATCAAAAACCCATCAACGATGTTGCGCTGCCACGCGAATACCGATACGAAGGCGGCAATCCAGAGGACGGTGAAGAGGGTTTTGTGGGACGAGAAGAGGGTCGTAATCCACCTCTTGATGTCGAGGCGGTGGTGGTGGAATCGCCACGACGGCGTCGAGGTCTCCAGCATCGTTGCAAACAAAAATGGAATGCGATTAAGGGAGAGAAGAGAGGGAATTGGGTAGTGAGGAATTGGTTTTTTTGAGGAACATGAATCTGAGAGAGAGAGGGGTTTTGGAGAGAGAGGGGTTAGGTGAGAGAGAGAGAGAGAGAGAGAGAGAGAGAGTGGATTGGTATGCAGATGTCAATTGTCAAGATGGTATGAGTAAAGAAAGAGTCTGGTGTGGATTGGAAGGTGGTGGGTGTGTTGGAGTACAATGGAAGGGAAGAGGAAGGAAGAGATTGCTCTCTCTTTGATGCAGAGGGGGGCGAGAGAGAGAGAGAGAGAGAGAGAGAGAAAAAAAATTAATTTTTTTATTTTTAAAAATATTTTCCAAAAAAATTATATAATTGTTAATATTTTTTAATTTAAAAAAAAAATAACTTTAAAAATTCACAATGTAAAGGGTTGTTTGGGATGATCTAAATGAGTGTATTTTTTGATTTTTTATAAAATATAAGTTGGATTTAATGTGATGTGATAGAGAGATAATATAGCTTAAATAAGATGATATTATTTAAATAAAATAATATTTTTTTAACTTTTTAGTTTTTTGATTATCCCAAACCTAGCCTAAATGGTGATAGTCAAAACAACAATAATTGAGGGCCACAATTTTTGTGGCTCAAATGGCTCAAAATTACTAAAACGACGTCGTTTTGAGTACAAAACAACTTCAAAATTGTCAAAACGACGTCATTTTGACAATTTTAAATCATTTGAACCACAAAAATTGCGACCCTCATCATTTGAACCACAAAAATTGCGACTCTTAAACATTTTCCTAGTCAAAATGTGACTTCTATTCTATCCACTTTTTTTTTTAATAAATTTACTATATTGACTAGTTTTAATTTATTTTATTTAATTTATTTAAATTTAAAGTAATATTATAATGTATCTTATTTTGGCAACGACAATGCTACGTAGCTCAAATTTTGTGGCTCAAAAGTGGCTCAAATGGCCAAAACGACGTCGTTTTGGCCATTTAAATCACTTTTGAGTCACAAAATTTGAGTTACGAGACATTTTCCTTTTGGCAATTGTAAAAAAGTTAACTTCTTAATTTTTTAAGTTGCATCATTTCTTTTTTTTATACGTATTCTTTTTTACAAATTTAAAAAGTCTCCGTTTGGTAAGCCTGTCAAATTATAATTCCACCCATTAATTTGAGTATGGTATTTGTTTTGAGCTTTTAAATTATAATTCTACACCAATTTCTCAAAACATAATCATTACTTTTCAAAACTTATTACCAAACACATAATTCAAAATTCAATTCAAATCAATATTTTAATTTTTTAAATATTTTAAAATTTAAATATGTTATGATTTTTTTAATTTTTAAATTTTTTGAATATTTTAAATATTTTAATTTTTAAATATTACGATTTTAATTTTTTAAATTTTAAAATATTTTATAAAAATAAATTCAAACTCTATTTTATAAAAATATTTTTAAATATTTTAATTTTTTTTGTTATGTATTTGGTTACAATTTGAGTATAGAGTTGTGAAAGTATTATGGAGTTTCGAGTTATATGTTTGGTTATAAGTTTTAAAAATAATTTCTTAATTGAGTTTTGTTTTATGTGTTTAGTTACGATTTGAGTATAGAGTTATTTTAAAATTTAAAATATTAACATTTTACATTATTTAAATTTTTACGATTTAAATTTTTTGAATATTTATTTTAATTTTTTACTTATTTTGTTTTATGTGTTTGGTTATGATTTGAGTGTAGAGTTGTTTTTAAATTTAAAATATTAAAATTTTAAATTATTTAAATTTTTTGAATATTTAAATTATTTAAATTTTTACGATTTAAATTTTTTGAGTATTTATTTTAATTTTTTACTTATTAAATTTTTTAGATTATTTAAATTATTTAAATATTTATGATTTAAATTTTTTGAATATTTATTTTGAACAAATATTATTTCCTTTGTAGTATTTTAAATTAAAAAATTGATTAATGTTATTTTTTGTTAATAATAAATTTTTTTAATTGAATTTTAAAAAAAGTTTGGTTATGAATATTGATCAGAATTTTCAATAGTGTGAATATAGTGTATTTTGTCATGAGTTATAACAATTTGAATTAAGTTTTAAAAACTCTTTCTAAAACTCATAACCAAACAAATTTTCTTATTTCACATGTTAAATCAAACTTTCAAAACTCAATTCAACATTCTATTCGAAAATCATAACCAAACAAATTTTCTACACTCAGATTATAATTTCAAAACATACAAACTCAAAATACAACTCATATTCTTAAATCATAGTTAGAAAGTCTTACCAAACGGAGCCTTGGTCTTTTACTAATGATTGCTAACTCTAACATTATCATTTAATTATTATTATTTTTATTATCTATATGCTCTAACGATATTCTTTATTTTACACAAATTATTTAGGAGTGGTGCTTCGGACCCCCTGTACAGAACGACCTCAGCACCCCCCACCTCCACGTGGGGGGTTGCCAATAGAGAAAAAAAAGAAAACACAATTTTAGACCAATCAAAAGAGACCCCGCTAGGGTCTTATGCATTTTCCATTATTTAAATAGCTTTCCATGGCTCTCCAAGTATAACTAAAAAAACGTTAAAATAACTTAGTGTAATAGCTAACCTTTTGGAGGAAGTAAAATAGTACAAGACTAAGGTCCGTTTAGAGATTAAATATTTTAGTTAAAAAATTATAAAGTCATTATAAATTATCACAATATTTTCTTTATTTTTTTATATATTTTTTGTAAAAAATCAAAAAATTAATAAAATAGTTTATTCTTAAACGAGACCTAAGCCTCCATTGGGAAAGAAAGTTTTTGGTCTAGCTTTTTGGGTTTTTTATTATTTTAATCTGGCCAAAAAAATTTTGTTTCAAAAAATCTGTAGTTTGTAAGAGAAAAAAGTGAAATAATTATGATTTACATGTAATATTTTGTTTTATGACTTTTTAACCTATTTTATCTTTTAATGAACTAAAGTTCCAACTAACTTCTCATACAAAGCCTAACTATAAGATGAGGTTAAGGCTTCACTTAGCAAGTGAGTTCGAACTAATTTAGCTTATCAAAAGGTAAAATAAAATAAAAATCAATAAGTTAAAATGTCATATTTAAATCATTATCATTTTATTTTTTTTTACAAAAAATTATAAAAAGTCAATAAAAATTTCCAAACAAAATTTTTTTGATAAAGTTAAAATAGTTAAAAAGTTAAAAAAGTATGCTAAAAAAAATATTCTCAAATGAAGATTATAATAGTCGGGAAGCCTCTATTAAAGAGTCCATTGGAGGTACTCAAAGTGAGCATTTATTAAAACCAAATAATGAGATAAAAAACTAAGATTGTAATACATATTTCATATTTATATATATATTAAGATATTTTTTTACACATACTAATAACAATCACCACCTAATATTCATGAGGGTTTTTTTTTTTATAATTATTTCCATAACTTTTTAAATAAGTATTGCCGTGTTCTTGCATATTGTAAGTATGAAAATTTTCAGCTAATTACAAATTGCAACGTACTGCAAAGCTTACAAAGCCTCCGTTTGGGAAGTGGGTTGGCTTTTTGGCTTTTTAATTTTTTGGCTATTTTAGCCTGGGCTATTTTAGCCTGGTTTGGGAAGGGGAAAATGGTGGCGGGTGGTGGCTAGTGTTGGGTGGTAAAAAAAAAAAATTGAAAACTCAAAATGGAAACACATTTTTTGTGTTTTCATTTTTTGGCCAAATTTATAAACTGAGACCACTGATTTATAAATCAAAAATTTTACCAAACAAGTTTTTATTTGAGTTTTTAAAATTTTTGTAAATATAAGCAGAAAACTGAAAACGTAAGTGTTACCAAACGGCACCTTAGTATTTGTTTCTAAATAAATCAGAGATAATTACCAAATAAATTAGAGTCTATTAAGATTCTCAACCACTCATTCCTATCAATAAGGGTGATCTCCTCTAGAATTTTACATACAATTCTATATACAAATTCTACATTCATAAATCACATTGTAGAAAATAAAATCTACCTCAAGCTAAGGAAGAAAGTTCCATAGGTGGTGTTTGGCAAGTGATTTTGGGGCTAAAATAATCACAAAAGACAAAATAGATTATTTTAGCCACAACAAACAAAATATTACATCTAACCCATAATCATTTCACTCTTTTCTCACAAAAAAAATTAAAAAAGCCAAAAAATCAAAAAGCCCTTCTCAAACCAAACTTTTTAACGCAGGCTAAAATAACTAAAAAAGTCAAAAAGCCAACCCGTTTCCCAAACGGAGGCATAAACCAAGTTGTAGAAAGAAAAACTACACCAAGCCCAGGAAGAAAACTCCATCGAATTAAAGCTTTAAAATCTTAAGGTCTATTCACCAAACCCTATCAACCTCCATGAAGTATAAAGTTCGGATATTCAAATCAAAATTCCTCATCAAACTCTACAAATCAAATTTATCTTCTTCAACTAAATTGAAGAGGATTCTATAATCTGATTTGGGAAAAAACTGTCAAGTCCTTATCAAGTCAAAGTCTTACAAATTTGTTCCTTGCGTTATTTGAAGGAGATCTCGCCATTTGATTCAGGAATAAGCTATCAAGCCCTCGAGTCAACTTTTGAAGAGAATAATCAGAATATCATTCTCTCTGTACAAAAATGTCCTAGAGATTGTAATGGTTTTATTTTAAAACAATAAATTTATATTTTTGTTATTATATTTTTCTGTCTTTATTTTGCAAACAAGAAAGTCAATGAATGTTTTTTTTCATATAGACTTTCTTCTAATAAATTAATTGACCAAAAATATATTTTGCATTGTTTCCCTTTTACAGTTTTAAAAATCAGATTTTGAGTTTTTAATCCATATATATATTTTTTATTTTTAATGCATTCTTTTAATGTTCGTTAATCAAAGTCTGTACCTGATGAATTTTATTATTGCACTCTTCTAATTGTGCTAAACACCAAGGATCATTACGGGAAATAGTAAGATAATACTCAATATTACGTTTTCGATTTTCCCAGATATTTAAAATATCATTATATATAACAAGTTGATATATGGACATTCATCAAAATTGAGGAACCAAAAATAAGAGATACTTACAACCAAAATGGCAACCTTTATTATAATACTTCAAACTTTTACAGAAATGAAAACACCCTGAAACGTGAGAGAGAGGGAGAGAGAGAATATAAAACTTAGAAAATAAAATTTCGTGGTGCCTTCCACAGACCAGAGGCTACCAATTTATATTACAAA